TTATTTTACGACGAATAAAGAAATGTTTCAGAGCACTATTCGAAGTATACGGGAAAGTGCTTGCGTTGTTTTAGATTCCACGGAAGTTCTGTCACACGATGACCGAGCGCGCGGCGCTTTCAAAATTCCGAATACCGTCGCGTAAATTGAAATCGATCGTTAAAGGAAAGCGGCGGATTTATCGGATGCTTTTTTTTTCACGCGGCGGCACTACGTATTTACGTTGTACGTTAGCGAGCGGCAGTGCGGATGCATCGTCGATCACGTCACTTTATAACCTTAAATGAAACAATGCCACCAACCGAACACTTTCGAACTCTGCTACACCTACTCCGTCTTCTGCTCGTGGCGCGCTAAACGTACGATGCCCGCGAAAGAGTTGCTGCGTTCGTGTTTCATCGTCGAGCTTTGACGAATGAATTGACGTTTCCCCCCTTCGCGTAGATACGAAATTAAAAGCGAAATTTCCCCTTATGAAAATTTCATTTGAATATCGTCGTCCTATGATAATGCCGTGTATAATATAATGTTATCCACAACCGCGGAAGGCAATAATTGATTTTACCTTCTATTGAATCATGAATGAAATATTTAACGTGATTGCCTTTGGGAGTAGCTTTTAAGGGTTGAGCAACGATTAATAGCGAGATTGGATAGATCGTCGCTGAATAAAATTTTTCTTGATCCGTAGCATTTCCAATGTGATCTGCGATGAAACGTGTTCGCGGGCTGGACGAGGTAGCATCACCAGCAGCAGCAACATTAAAGCACTCGTCGGTGAGTGCAGGAAGTGGCGGAGGAGGTGGTTTGGAGTACCATTCAAGCAGTGGAATAGGCGTTGTTGTACCTGGCCAAGCAGTTCGATCAGTTGCTTCGAAAGAAATGCCGGGAAGCATACAATTTGGAACTGCCCAAGCTCAACAGCAATATACTGGAGCAATTGTAGTGCCGACCGCGGCTCCGTCCCCCATCAAGGTTCGTGTTGTCTACATTGTAATAAACAACAGTAACCAGCAGCAAAAACAACTGCATCATTTTTCTATCCTCTCCATTTTTTTCTTTTCTTTTTACTATTTTTTAATCGTTTCTTCCTAATTTCATCCCCGTTAACTTTGTATTTTTAATATTTTCTTTTCTTGCGATCTTGTCATCCGTAATCGTTTTCCAGGTACCAGATATAACAGAATGATGCGGGAGCGAATGAAATTAATCCGCTTAAAAGCCGTCTATCGAATTAACCGTTTTTAAATTATCGTTTTAATAAATTTGTGATACAACGCATACGATATTATGGAATACCTTTATTTATAAAATAAATATACAGTATTGATCATTTGTGTGTGTATGTGTGTGTGTGTGTTTGAAATCAACAATCGACAATCTTTAAAGTTTCTCTCAATTTTTCCTGAATAAAATTTATGTAGATGATTGTTTCATTTTGTATATATATCTCTATGCGCACATTTTATTTCAATTTTATTGCATTTTTAACTTATATGTTTACAATTATGGAGTATAATCTATCTATTTTTTGGAGATTATAAGAAAGTGTTATTAATCAACAATCGACAATCTTTGAAGTTTCACTCAATTTTTCCTGAATAAAATTTATGTAGATGATTGTTTCATTTTGTATATATATCTCTATGCGCATATTTCAATTTTATTGCATTTTTAACTTATATGTTTATAATTATGGAGTATAATCTACCTAGTTTTTGGAGATTATAAGAAAGTGTTATTAATTGTATTTATAGGGAAGTGGATCTGCAGGACTTACTTCTACATGTAGCAGTAGCAGTGTAAATGCTGCTGGAGGTTTACATGCTGGAATAGGTGGTGGTAGTAACCACAAT